AGATGTATACACATATATGACGAATGTACTATAAAAAGGAGTGAACAAATGTACATATACCACATAAAGCATTATTCATCATCTGCGCTGTTTTGTACTGATTAACGTTCCCTATCCACCCACCCACTCGACGTGAGCAGATGCTGATGCGAAGGTTGTCATGTTCCGTTGGGAGAAGCTGGACTTCACAGTGTCCTTTATCAAGGCCACCAAACAGTGGCGGATTCCAGGTGTACATATGCTAATGCCATCCCTACCGGTTTGTATATATACTTAATGTAGTGTGTACGAGTATGCTGATTTATACATCCATACATATAACATACACCTTGGGGAAGCTTTCAGAGTTCTCCTCATTGCCTAAGGCTGCTCTCTGTGTGCGTGAACTTGTGTGCCGAGTACTTATGTGCGTGTGTGAATATATTATCAGTATGAATGTGTGCGTGTGTATGTGCGCACCATAGCCCGTGCGGGTGCCTGTGTGAGAATACGTGTGCATGTGCGTATGTGCTACCTGAGATGTTAAACGCCGTCAACAACTGTATTCCCGTGGTATCGACTGATGTACATCATTTTTGTATTGTCGTCATTTTCCTTTTTATCGTTACGATGCTTCATTGCGCCATACGGTGCGCGTGATACCGATAATCCGACCTTTTCTTTAGGAGGCTATGTCGAACCAGATGACTTAACACCCAAAAACCGGAAATCATCGGCCCTCAAGATATTTTTTAGTGCTGAAGCGGAACCGATATATCAAATTTTAGTCACAAATAGGATGATACGCTTCCCCTGAAACCCCAAACCCCTCAACTCATTCCAGGTTTCAGACTTTTCCGGGATCTGGATTCGATCCAAAATCTGATCAACTTGGATGTATGGCCGGGTCCCTCTATCATCCACCAGTTCTACAAGAAGGTCGGGGAAGAAATAGGTGAGTTCGGTAGGGCGTGTGCGAGGTTTTACTATGTCACCCAAGTTCCTCAAGGAATTCGAAATCGAACTCTCGCACAACTTATGCAACGAGATCAGGTTCAAATACATGCATTTATTCGTTAGTGGAGGTCTTAAATATCTATTTATTCGTTAGTGAAGGTTTCAAATCTTTGTTTATTCGTTAGTGGAGGTTATAAATCTCTGTTTATTCGTTAGTGGAGGTTTTAAATCTTTGTTTATTCGTTAGTGGAGGTTTTAAATCTTTGTTTATTCGCTAGTGGAGGTTTTAAATCTTTGTTTACTCGTTAGTGGAGGTTTTAAATCTTTGTTTATTCGTAGGCTGAGCTGTATATTTATGGACACCTCTTACTTGCGTAGTTTAAAGGAATTCATCAGGTCTGTACGTGTATAGACGAATTATATCAGATACCGTTTGTCTTCGCAACTTTTAATGTTTCTTATTGGTTCTATTGATTGGTCGGAAACCCAGTTGTAGATAGTCAGAGAAATTATCTTCATGAATAGATTCTACGGAATAGGAGACACAGCGGCACTGCACCTTACTAGTTGTGAAAAATTAACGTATTGACGAACGATCTCATGTACACCACATTGGGATAGGAGCATATACAATACAAACGTACACGGCGATACCAAACATATATAAATGTGTACAAAACACGTCTAGATTATGCACGGGAATTGCCTACATTGACGAACCAGCCACTGATACACTTCGCACATATCCGCGCACATATAATGAAGTGTTCAGCTTTGTCCTACAATGTCTTGTCTATTACATTGTACACAATCCTCTCTCTCCTTGTCATCTGACGCAGTCGCTTCTATATTTAGGCAAGAAGCAGCCCGGCCTGTTTGTGCTGAATTTCGGTCTGCATCCCATCGCCCACGACATGCGACCAGACGTGTACGAGACCTTTCTTCGGGAGGTGCGTACTTGTACTAATGCTTGTGTGTACTTCATAGTTAGCCTAATTCAAATACCAAACTATCACAATGATGTTGATCATAGTATGAATTCACAACTCAAATACCTATATGTCACACAGTTCAATATATCGACTAATACAGGGCATTGTGTTGAGCTATCCATACCGTAGATACAATGCCGGGCAGAGCTCAGGTGGCCATAGCCCCAGACAAGGCTCACTATACATTGCACTTTTACGTTTTAGGGTTCACGCCGGGCCCCTTGTCGTGACTCTGAGTAGCCACTTGCCATATAAAGGCACTTTAACTTGTGCATAATTACTCTAGACACCCATTGTTAATCCATTTGTATCAAAATTCTATGGCGACGGTATGAAGGCCGAGCGAAAACACGACCGTAGGCAGAGTGCAATCGAAACCCAAATAGAGAATAGTCTATCTGAGCATCTGGGGATACACAGATGCTTGAGTCGTTGTGTCTGACTATCGCGCGTGCCCATAGGAGAGGTCCAGTTAGCTGCATGGTCTTAGAGGGCGGTGATGAGCCACAGTCAAAGTTCGGAAGGTCACTACGATATATACATTGCTACTAAGCACCTTCAGATAGTCAAAAGGTTTGCGAACCGTGAAAGGAGTAGTCATGACCATATGACGATTCCTGTGAATTAAGTATACATGGTTACATGCTCATTTTGCTTGTGCACATTAAGCAGACTTAGACTCCCAACCCTTTCAAAACCCTCGTTTATACGACAGACTCCTTTGCTGCTTTCAACTATTGCATTCAAATATTCACGTAAACATAAACGTTTGATGCGTTACACTGTGCAGACGACTATTGCATTCAACTATTCACGTAAACATAAACGTTTGATGCGTTACACTGTCCAGACGACTATTGCATTCAATTATTCACGTAAACATAAACGTTTAATGCGTTACACTGTGCAGACGGTACGATGGTGGAGGAAGGGCACAAAGGCCACAGACGAAGTGCGAACGGACATTCCGATGCTGTGGCGAAGGACTACTGTCACACACTTCCCGGCCAATGAGCTCAATCTGATGCACCGATGCTTGTTACCAGACAGGCTTAAAGTGTACGACAGTATAGCCTTGCGGGTCATGGAGGTGGGTTTATATGTGGTTTATATAGGCAGGTATATATTGTAGGTGTACAATGTACACCTACAATGTGGTGGAGGTAGATCCCCATGCGCTATTCAGCAACTGCGCACGGCACAGGTGCTCGAAGAAGGACACCGATGTTGGTAGATGTATAGCAACAGGATGTATTAATCGTGTGTACTTAAAAAAAATATCTCGACCTTTAGTTCATGGGGGTAGTTGTGTATTCTCAACCGCTAAATATGAGATTTACAATTTAGATATAGACACACACACGTGTTTGTACAGTCTCTAATGCGCAAGCACAGGGGTCTGATCACCTCCTCAGAGCACCCAAGGGTGTTGTATGAAGTGTGTGTGCTGTGTAATATGAAGCGTGTGTGTGTGCTGTTTAGTATGAAGCGTGTGTGCTGTCGTGACATGTGTCTGTTTGATGGCATGACTGGTTTGAGATGAGACCACATCTGCTTGGCCTGATCATTGGGATTGCTATGAGGATTCAGTAGCAATGTTGCATCACCGACAGATGCCCTGATCATTGGTATTGCTATGAGGTTCTAGTAGCAATGTTGGCGCATTCTTCGCTGCGCCGGGGGTTGCTGTGGCAAGTTATCAACGCTATCGAGTCACGTATCGGTTTATTTTATTGCACATACATTGTCGTACTATGTGCGAGGCTATGGGATGCTGTTACTTTTAAATAACCTAATTCCCATTCATACCTCAATCATCACAAGAGACAGCCCCACCCCCTTTGCTCTGTGTGCTTATACGCACACCGTTAAAAACACCATATTAGGAGCTTGATGTGCCGGTCCTGGATTGGAAAACACCCGGACAGGGGCGAGCGGGTGCACAGAACGACAATAGGCATTTCAGAGATAAAGAATGCACTGGAACACGGGTGCAGGTGTGTAAGTATATGCGATCAGATAGCAGTTAGCACTAGTGTTGTTGTGGCACAGATAAACAATCGACCACAACTCGCGCAAAGATGTGTAGCTACAAGTATACCGCAGAATCCAATCCGTCTTGCCAACGGTTATGCTTTGCATTTAGTGTACGGTAGTTTCTGCAGAGGAACAAAATATATCGAAAATACTGAGCAAGCGTGAAGCTTTTCCTGTTTGATCAAGTATTTATCTGACCGGGAAACAACACTGAAACCTGGAAAACTACAACCCTAACCACTGACACATACACTCGTGTGCATACAGGGAACCAACACTGAAACCTGGAAAACTACAACACTAACCACTAACACAAACACTCGTGTGCATACAGGGAACCAACACTGAAACCTGGAAAACTACAACCCTAACCACTAACACATACACTCGTGTGCACACAGGGAACCAACACTGAAACCTGGAAAACTACAACCCTAACCACAAACACATACACTCGTGTGCATACAGGGAACCAATATGGGCCTCCTGCTCAATATGGTGGGCTCTATGCGCAACTGGGACATGACGCAACGTATAGGGTATACTGACACATATCACAAGCAGTATAAGGGGGCGGAGAGTAGGTAACATAAAATAGATGTAAAGCATCATAATCCAGTATATGTAATAAAGCTTGTTACAAATCAATACAACTGTAATATGGGGTGAGGAGATATAACGGAAATATGCGACACAATGATATATTCATAGACAATTTCTCTCTGTGAATGTCATGGAAAGCTTTTGCAGCATATCTGGGCAAAGAGAAACGTAGTTACAGTAAGTGTGAAGTATGTGTAGGTCACGATGTGGATACTCGAGGTGGGAGTTCGATACTATTTGAGCTCTCTTAGTGGTATGTAGATGGTGTGGTGCTGCGTTTCACATCCTGCAGAGCGTATTGCTCTTGCAACGCGTACTCCCCTTGCCACATAATCATCGCCACGACTTGAGACTAAAACAGTGTGCCACAGAAACTGGTTTCCATTGCAACTCAAGGATGCAAGGCCAAGAAGAACTCGAAAGAGTATTCATATATATACAGGTATATACATGTACACACACACACAAACACACACACACATATATATATGGCAGTTGCCACACGTTTTACTATCTCCAAATAAATATTACTGTTTATTGATGTAATCCAATACACCATTTCCCTCAGATATATTGGAACATTTACTTCGCCTGCTCACATGCTTTCACTAACTACATACGCCTGCCTGAATGATATTTTGGACCATTTAATTCCTTTTGACTAATTTCTAATTTTATTTCCTCCATATTTTGTCCAGCACTATTTTCTATTTCTTGTTATCTTGGTAAGGTTGTTCGCCAGGCAAGGGTAAAGGGTTGATAATCTCGATTTTCTCGGCTCAGATGGGTGCCTAATAAACCACCGACAGCTCTCAATGAGTCTACGTTTTCTTACCATGGTCCATCTGCACGGGGATAAAGTGCTTTTAGAAACAAGGTGCCACAGCAGAGCACATTTCGAGAGAGAGAGAGAGATAAATATATATATATATACATACGTACATTCATGCATATATACAAATACATATAAATTATATTAATAAGATGTGACCATATTACAGTCGTTATGGGTTCAGGTACCTAGTGGGAATATGTCGACCATAACACTGCATCTAAGTTGTGTGCATGTAAAGAACGTCGTCGTGTAAGCGTACATATGCATATGACTGTATATATAAAATAGCTATCATCTACAGATACGAATAAATATACGTGTCTCTGTAGGTACATATTCGAACACACACACATGGATGAATACAGATCGTATTTTGTATGTAGTACGCATAAATAGTGTATACGAGATCGCCATCACATCGATATTTCGATAGAAACGCGTATACCGGAATGCGAATCAAATTACACTTGTGCATAGTGACAAGACAGAATATACATATTTATATTCATCGGGACAGTATAATAATGGGATATAAAGCATCAGGAGGGTATACGTACATTGTGTATCCAATCCATATACAAATCCAATGGTAGTCTACGATCCACGTTCGCAACTTCACAAGCAGCAATAGACACATATCTAGTACAAGGGACCATGTCGTACGTTATGCACCCCCTACCTGTGGTACCGACTACCCCAATCTACAAGTAAGACACAAGAACATATACACTAGGCGACAAATAAACAAGCGCACACCTGTCTAGTAAATACAAATAACAAATAGATATACGTATGAAACACACGTACTGTTGCATAAACATACACGCAACCAGTCGTCTACCGCAGGGTCTGCTCAAGACATACTGGTGCGAATCGCCAAGGGGTGGGCAAAGTAAACCCACCCATGAACCCAACCCAACAGAACAACGCATATGCAAACTCTCACGTAATTCACATATAAATATACATATTTAAGTACAATCATACAATAGAACACGCAGATTTGAATCATATTGCTTGCTGTATTGATCCCATGCAGAGCTGTGCGAACTGTTGAAAGTTTGGATTCTCCATAGCCTCCGCCATTAAACCGTTGAGGTAAACTGTATCTTTCGTGCTGCAAGGTCGTGAATAGAAAAGTCAACCAGTAGTTTTCGACGTTCTAAAGGGGTTACCCTCCAAATCGGCACTGTCCCCCTACGTAAAGTAACTACGACTTGCGCGCGTAAATATATCGCTACTTTCCAGACCAGAATCCCAATACCCCGATAGACTACAGAGAGTGATTTTGATCGTGTCATCATTCAAAACGTACACACTTACAAGGTGCTTATGCGCCCATTCCCGCATACAATCATATATACATATGTATTTACTACAATCATATATACTTATGTATCTACTACAATCATACATACTTATGTATTTGCTAATCCGTATGGAATCTTCTCGACCCATTGTACGGATAGTTGTCTAGACATATACTCACATATGGGAGCAAACTATTGCACTCGAGCGTACTGGAATTGATAAGCATACACGATCATACTCAAGAGACAACTTGTGTTCAACCAGATATGCTGTACCTAGAGTCCGAATTGATGAGTGTCAGGAGTGTACGCAGATCCGGATTGGCTTGTAATAGATCCTTCAATGCACCATTCTCACCTGCGCCAGAGCCAAAAATTAGATCCAACAGTCAGAATATGCCACTACCATACATATTTAGATCCAACGGTTAGAATATGCCACTACCATACATATTCTGATCCAACAGTCAGAATATGCCATACCATACATATTTTGATCCAACAGTCAGAATATGCCACTACCATGCATATTTAGATCCAACAGTCAGAATATGCCACTACCATACATATTTAGGTCCAACAGTCAGAATATGCCACTACCATACATATTTAGATTTAACAGTCAGAATATACCACTACCATGCATTTTTAGATTTAACAGTCAGAATATGCCACTACCATACATATTCAGCAACCAATATGTGCTGGCAAACCTATCTAGTATAACTGGTGATCAAGGACATGCCCAAAGATATCACAGACGTGGCAGTTCAACAGTTGTCGAGGTCCGTAGGTACACTGACGCAAACAAGCTCATCGCTAGAGATTGCATGATGATTAAAAAGAATGTATCAACCAATCCGGATATATACACACTGTCAAAAGTACTCGACCAACACTGTGCAGGTACAACCATAAGCGCGTCGCCTCGCAGACACATGTATCACACACAACCAATACACGAGCCTTCAGGTTATTTATGTTAATGTGCGGCACAAAACGCTTCGGAATTGTACTGAATGTGATATGCAGAGATACTAACCAGAGCGCAGGCGTGTCTCGACCACCCACCCGTTACATTTCGCGACAACTGTTCGTTGCCGAGGTGAGCCATGTCTTTGTAACACGAAGTACCTACACATAAAGCAACAAACTCAAGTGACACACAGCAGACACACACTCCAAAGCAGCTCATACGTACGCCAGACTGTTCACATACAAAACGAAGGTACGTTCTTGACGGGTAAAAGTATGCCTACGCTATGCATCGTATAGTGTACGTTTTGAACATCCTTTGGTGATATAGACTGCCCTTGTAAATGCTGTCAACCGCACTAACCAAGGCATCACGAACACTTCTCATACCGTCATCGCGCGCACACACAAGTGCAACACCACAACACCATGAGCAGGCACTGGATCGAAGCTAACACACGCACGACGCAGCGGAGATTGAGACCCCGCGCAATGTCTGTGCGGAGGTTGCATTGACATACCTAAGCTATTGAGCGCATCCTGAGGCACTTCCGCATCCTTCGGCACAACAAATCCACCCTTGGGTTTGCTGTCGATGGCATCGGTTACGACATCTTTATCCGTCCGTGAAGTGACAGTAGTGTCTGCGCGCATGTGCTCCGCATCTGTACTACTGCTCTCTATCGAAGTGATCGGATTGGTTGTATTCGCTACTGCTGGCGTTGACGACTCTGCAGATTCTGCTTTCAAATCATCGGTTGCTTGTGGTCGTTGCTGTTCCCCTGTATGTGAGGTATCTGATACGTTTTTAGCATTGGTTGCGGAGTCCACGGGAGCCTCTGTTGAAATCTTTTCTACGTCGCACGGCACTTCTTTGTGCTTCCGAAAACACGGGATCGAGCAGCTGTAACAGAAAATATGGTTGATTAAATGAGTGGGGCGTTGTGAAAATAAAAGATAAAGGATAAAACTGCACACACACACACAAATATATATATATGTATATATACATATATAAAACTGCACACACACACATATATATATATACACAAATATATATATATATATATATATACGAAGGGACAGAAATTGAGTGGAAAATTGTGACAATAAAATAAAAAGTTAAGAATACAATACACACACACACACATATATATATCTACGTACATAGGTACAATAAAATATAGATAAATACACCTAGATATTTCTATTGATGAACGTATTTATACCCGTTTCTATCGAGCCATATGATACAAATCTCTACACACACACAGAGACACACACACACACATATATATAAATAGAATGTATATATTTGCATACTTGTATACGTTTATATGTACATATAGATAGGATTAGAAAAATGTGTAAAGATGCCCACACACACATATATATAATATATATGAGTATATATATATATATATATATATATATATATATATATAGTATTAGTATATACACACAACATATATATAC